TAAACATTAAAACAATAATTATTTACATAAAACTCCTTAATATTTGCCAAGCATTGTCACAATGATTTTAATTCCTTTAATTCTCAGATAGATATAGTTGTAAGAAAAATTAATACCATTTTACAGCCTGGGAAGCTGCCTTATAGAGTATAAATTATGCTCTAATTTACACAGTAAATGGTAAAGCAGATTTAAGTTTAGCTCATTTAATGAAAGAGCCAATTCTTTTAACTACTGACTCATAAGTATCTCATGGCTTAGTGGTAAGGAATTATGCTGCCAACCCAAAGGTACATAGTTTAAATCCACCAGCTGCTCCACGTAGAGCGATGGGCAATCTGATCTAGTGTACTTTATTGCCTCTAAAAACCTGATGGAGGCTCAGATACAGGTTAGTTCTAATGTGATGGTATACAACAAAACCAACAACTGGATGCATAACAACTGTTCATTGAGTTTCTGAGAGAGTTTATGGGAGAAAATAGTTTCTTTCTCCTGAGGATCAGCTAGTAAATTCTGGCAACTGACTTTTGGTTAGAAGTGCTATTGTTGTTGGTTAGAACTATGCGAATGTGAAGTGTTATGACCCACCAGCATACCAGGCAGCTTGTTAATAATGCAAATAAAGTAAATAGCTTCTTTCAGGTATTGTATGCTTTTGAGTCAGAACTAACCCATAGCTGATCCCCCAGAGGGTTTTCACAGTCAGCAAATCACATGAGAGATTGCCCATCCTTCTCCTGCAGAGTAGCTGGTGGATTTGAACTGTGTGTCTTGGGGATTACAACACAGTTTCTTATCACTAGGCCTCCAGAGCTCCCTTCTTTCAGACAGGACAATGCAAATAAGCTGTGAAGAATGCTAAAATTAGGATCAATTAGTTTGCCTGTCCGACTTAAAACATAGCCATGGTAGAAAGCAAGAATCTTCCTAATAACAAGACATATGAGGCAGAAACCTGAGATCCCTATGTGAACAGGAGACGGTGCTGTAACTAGTGTGAGAGTGCAATAGGGTGAGATTTCAGACCAAGAGCCACAAGATGGCATAAAACAAGTGACAGTGGCATAGTTGACAAATCAAGTGACTAGTGGGAAGCAGTGCTGTGGATTCCTGACCCCTGAAGGAACTATATTTACTGGCTCATAGAGCTAGAACCTAGCACCTTCAAGTTGGCTTGAAGTGGAGTGGAGTGCCACTACTGATGTTTAAAACATTAACAGAGCTTAAAGAGCTTTTATAGCCTTGCCTCAGAATCTGTGAAGTTGAGGTCAGAGTGAGGCTTGCCTATCAGCACACCTGAGAGAAATGGTTGTATTGATTGACGAACTGTATCCTGAGTGTTAGTGAACCTGAATTATAATCTGTTAATTTCTCTGATTGCTGTGGTTATGTGCCATTGAGTATAACTCATAGCGACCATATGAACAATGGCTCAGAATCTTGCCCTGAGCCAACCTCACCATCTCTGAGACACTCTACTTCATTGCCAGAGTCATTGTGTCAATCCACCTCATTCACGGTCTTCCTCTCCGAAATCGACCCTCTATCCTTCACCCTCTATCCTTCTAAGCATGACTCATCTCCAAGGACTGGTCTCTCCTGGCAACATGCCCAAAGTATGTGAAATGAAGCTTCAAAATCCTTGCTTCCCGCGTCAACGATTTAGATCCTCCCAGAAGAGCTGTGGGTGAGCATTAACATTACTGGTAAGTATATTCATTTTCTCCTGGACACAGAGCCTACTAATTGGTCCTAAAAGCCTGCTGAGGTCCCAACTCTTCTCGCTATTTCTTAGTTGTTAGAATGGACGGAAAACCTCATAAGCAGTTCCTTACTTCACCTCTACCCTCCATGCGAACTTCCGAGTTGTGGAACAACCCAGTGGTAGATGGAATTTGCTCCAGGACTTAAGAACCACATCTTGTGGTTCCTAACCTCTACACTATAATAGACAAAGTGCTAGTCCATAGGCCTTTTATTGTAAGAACCACCTTCCCTCTGTAACTTGATTTGTGCCACTACTAGAACGTCTACTCGGAATGTTATTGCTTGTTAATTTTTGACTCATACACTTTTAACTTGTTAGTTAAATTTGTGTCTTCTAGGTTGCAACACCTCCATGATACATCTTCTAGGATATGAACATGTACGGCTAAGCACAATTAATAACAGCGCATCTAAATTCCAAAATCAATCTCCATAATAGTCTATGTGTTTCCTACTGCCAAAGGGGCTCTTTAGAGTAGTGAGAGAAGATCTTCACCCTGAAACCCACAGCGTCCCTTTTCAGTAGGAAGTAGCTAAGAGAATATGCCATCCCCTTTTCCTTATGAATCAGGGTGAAGCCTCTCTTAGGGAGGAGTGATAGGGAATGGCAAAGGACACACTGACAAAGGAGATTAATCAGAACTGGCTTTGACAAGCACTGTGGCAATTGGACAATTAAAACAGACATTCGGGGGGGGGGGAGAAGAACGAACTGGGGAGGAGGGTAGAGAAAACAGTGCAACAATGAATGAATGAAAACCCAAAATCTCTGTAAATGTTCATTAAAACTAAGAAAATTTAATAATAATTAAAAAAAAAAACCAAAACCCCCAAAATCCTTGCTTCCAAGGAGCAACCTAGTTTTATCCTCTCTAGAAGAGAACTGTTTGTTCTCTTGACAGTCCATGGTATGTTCATTTTTTTTTTCAGCACCACAATTCAGCATTGGTTCTTCTTCTGTCATCCTTACTCACTTATTTACTGTGCAGTTCTCAAATAAATAGCAAGCAATTGAAAAGACCATGGCTTGGCTCAGGTGCACTTTAATCTATAGACTGACATCAGTGTCCAGAGAGGCCCTTGACGGAACATTTTCCCAATGAAACTCATCTTTTGGTTTCCTGACTGCTGGTGCTAAGAGTGCTGGTTATTGATATGAGCAAGACAAAATTGTTAACAGCTTCAATCTTTCTCCATCTCTCATGATGCTGTCTATTGGCCTGGTGGTGAGGATTTTTGTTTTCTTGGTGTTGAGATGCAATCCAGATTGAAGGCTGTAGTTCTTGACCTTCTGCCACAAATGCTTCAAGTCCTCCTCACTTTGTGAGTTTTATGTGACCATTACAATAAATGACTAGAAAAGCAGAAGAAAGGTTTGGCATGTACAGTGTAGGGTATGTGACCTCAGAGGAATGGTCATTGTACTGTTGATCTTAATGATAATTCTTCCCTCTTGGAAGTTAGTGCAGGTGAGACACCACCATCCCTGATCCTACTAAGTTTTTTCACATCTTCTGAATCCACCTTGGTTTTCTGGCTGCTTCCTGTTGATGCACTGTTAATTATCTAGGAGACTCAATTGTTAAATGTAATGGCCCATTTAGTAAGGGGTTCATATAGTTGTGGTTTTCCTGACATTTTCAAGTCAAGGAGGATATACTAGCAGTTGTCACACTTTTAATTTTTAGTTAAAAATTTTGCTTCCTTCCCTTTTTCTCTCTTTGATACTTTTAGTTTTAAGCACTGATATTATGTCTTTGACTCTAATTTCATCTTAGTTTTTCACTTCAAACCCAAACCAGTTCTATTAAGTGCCTTTCCAAACTGTAGGATTGTAAACTAGAACTCTCTTTGTCTTGAGTCCTTTTCTGTACTTAATTTTTTAAAAAAATTGTGATTTGAGTGAAAATTTACAAAGCATATTATTGTACACCCCTCTCCAAACAATGATTCATGCACATTCTGTTCCACATACCAATTATGATACATACAAATAAATGTCTGATCATCCATTCATTCTACTTTGTCCTTCCCTTAAGAAAATATGTGTGTCACATATTTCCATGTTATCCTTACACAGAGGCCAGGTAAGCTCCTGTATAGTTCTCTGTGTAGTTCCAATGTTAGTACATGTGCTGGCAAAGTGAGTATCTGTCTTAATTTTGGAATCCTGATCAGGCTTTATGATTTTATTATGCTTCCTCACCACAATTCCTGCCTAGAGTCACTGGGAGACATAGGGTTTTGTCACCTTGATTTTTAAGAAAATGTCATCAAAATAGAAATAATCCAATCTAGTATTTGTTGTTTTTGTTAGGTGCTGTAGCATTGAGTGTGACTCATAAAGACCCTATGAATAACCCCTGTCTTATCCTGTGCCATATCCAAACCCTGTCTTTTCCTGTGCCATTCTCACACTTTTTTTTATTTTAAAACTTTTAAAATTTTTTAAATTTTATTATTTATTTGTGTGTACCGTCAAATCAGATCTGACTGGCACAGGAGGAGATTGCCTCGTCTTCTCCAGCAGAGCATCTGATGGATTCGAACAGTGCACCTCTGGGATTGCAGTGCAGCTTCTTGCCACTAGGCCACCAGAGCTCACCATCCTCACACTTTTTGACACACTTGAGACCATTTCAGCGGTCACTCTGTAATTACTCTGGTTGAGGGTCTTCTTCTCTTTTGCCTATCCTCCACCTTTCCAAGGTTGATGCCCCTCTCCAAGCATGATGTCCTATTCTAAAGAATAGCCTTTCCTAGTAACATGTCTGAAGTATGTGAAACTAAGTTTTATCATCTTTGCCTCTAAGGAACACTCTGGCTACACTT